CATATTTTGTTACTTTATATCCCCCAGATGAATGCAATCTTTCTATGTCTATCCCTCTCTTTCTGACTCATTTCGCTTAGCATGATACTTTCCATGTTGTACCACTTGTATGTAAATTTCATGACTTCTCTTTTCTAACAGCTACATAGTACTCCATTGTGTAAATGTACCAAAGTTTCTTTAACCAGTCATCTGTTCCTGGGCATTCAGGTTTTTTCCAGATTCTGGCTATTGTCAAGAGTGCTGCAATGAACAGACAATTGCAGATGTCACTTCGACTATACATTTTTGCCTCTCTGGGATATATTCCCAGGAGTGGTATTGCTGGGTCAAATGGGAGCTCAATTTCTAATTTTTTGAGAATCGTCCATACTGTTTTCCAGAAGGGCTGAACCAGTCGACATTCCCAACAACAGTGAAGGAGTGTCCCTTTCTCGCCACATCCGTGCCAGCATCGGTTGCTTTTGTTCTTTTGAATGTGGCCCAGTCTCTGAGGTGTGAGATGGTATCTCATTGTTGTTTTGATCTGCATCTGCCTGATGATTAGTGATATAGAGCAGTTTCTAATGTGCCTTTTAGCCATTCGGATTTCTTCTTTGAGAAAGTTTCTGTTCATTTCATTGCCCCATTTTTGGATGGGGTTGGATGTTTTCTTCTTGTGGATTTTAACCAGTATTTTGTATATCCTGGATATCAACCCCTTGTCAGATGTGTATTCGGCGAATATCCTTTCCCATTCTGTAGACTGTCTTTGTATTTTGGTCACTGTTTCTTTGGAGGTGCAGAAGCTTCTTAGTTTAAGATAGTCCCATTTATCTATCTCTGTTTTCACTTGCTCGGCCAGTGGCGTGGCATCTTTGAAGATACCATTAGCTTCAATGTCATAGAGGGTTTTGCCAACTTTGTCGTCAATGTACCTTATGGTTTCTGGTCTGATGTTGAGGTCTTTAATCCATTTTGATCTTACTTTTGTACATGGTGTTAGGCAGAGTTCTGAGGGATCTTAAAAATTAAGCTGCTCTGGAAAGATAGATGGCGGCCGCACGGGAGCCTTGTGGACAGCAGGTTTGAGCCGGGCTCGGCGGGAGCGGCAGGGACCTCATGGGAAGGGGGGCTTTGTGGGCCGTCCCCCACGCCCCACCGAGGTCGCCAGCTGCCCCCCACGAGTGGCTCTCCGGCACGGCCACGGCCCCGGAGGCACAAGGACTTAGCACAGAGAACCAGCCGCTTGGAGCAGAAAAGCAAATGGACTATGTGTTAAACCGCGCCACCAAGCCTGCCCGGAGGGGAAAGGGTGTTGACTGGCCCGCCCGCTCCTCTCTGGAAAGAAAGATGGCGGCCGCATGGGAGCCTTGTGGACAGCAGGTTTGAGCCGGGCTCGGCGGAAGCGGCAGGGACCTCATGGGAAGGGGGGCTTTGTGGGCCGTCCCCCACGCCCCACCGAGGTCGCCAGCTGCGCCCCACGAGCGGCTCTCCGGCACGGCCACGACTCCAGGGCACAGAAACCAATCTCCTAACTATCTAACTTTTAATAGAAATTCTTCCAGGGTCAATAAGTAAAATAGCAGAAATTCAAAACCAACATTTAATTCTTGAACCCAGCTGTAGAAAGCAAATCACTTCACAACGCTGTTTCAGCATATCTGATTGTGGGGGGTGGGTCGTAAACTGTAAACAATAATTGTGCATCTTCTATCGAAACAATCTATCTAGTCAAAGTAGATAGAGTATTAACTAGAACTCATCTGCCTCACAAGAATTGGGAGGGGTGGGAGGTGGGGGTCTATTGGGGTTCGGGGTTAAAAATAAGTATTGGTAAAGGGAAATGTGTTTGATATTTACATGACTGAGACCTAAACCCGAAAGCTCTGTAACTTTTCCCACAGTGATTCAATAAATAAATAAATTATAAAAAAAAAATTAAGCTAAGTCAGGGCCAGAGTGATAGTACAGTGGGTAGGTGCTTGCCTAGCACACAGTCTCAATCCCCAGCATCCCATATGGTCCCCCGATACCCACCAGGACTAATTCCTGACTGTAAAACCAGGAATATGCTCTAAGCACTACTGGGGCCCCCAAACAAACAAACAAACAAACAAAAGAATTAAGCTAAATTGACTCCACTATTTAAGCAGAACAAAGAGCCCAGATGACAGCACATCTGTCTATGCCACGGTTTCCTGAGGGGTGAGGAACACACCCCACAATGGTTGGGCTTATTCCTGGCTCTGCACTAAGTAACTATACCTGGCAGTGCTCAGCGACCATGTGAGATGCTGGAGACTGAACCTAGTTGGCCATGTGTAAGGCAAGTGCCCTACCCACTGCACTATCGCTCTGGCCCCTGCTTAGGCTTTCACTTTATTTTTAATTTCCTGTACATTTTATTTTATTGTACTGAATCACAGTGAGATACACAGTTACAGAGCTTTCACGATCAGATTTCAGTCATGCAATGTTCCAACACCCATCTCTCTACCAGTGCACATTTCCCACCAGTAATGTTCCCAGTATTTCTCCAGCCCCCTCCACCCCTTTTCCCCTCCCTCTGCCTCTATGGCTGGCACTTTCTCTTTCTTTCTCTCTCTCTCTCTCTCTCTCTCTCTCTCTCTCTCTCTCTCTCTCTCTCTCTCTCTCTCCTTTTGGGCATCATGATTTGAGGCTCTTAAGCCCACCCGTTCAGAATACTGATGTTCACTGACAAATGCACCCAAGTCCTGAAGAGCTTTGATAGAGATGCAGCCTAGGAACCAGGGGGGTTCTTCCAGCTCAAGCTGAAATACCTTTCTTAGTAAGAGACTCATTTTGTAAGGCTATGGCTGCCGTAGACAATGATTCCCCCTGATAGAACATTAGGGAAATGTCCACTGAAAAACTTTTGGAAAGGATTTGCCATCTGAGATGCCTTTCATGATTCATGGGAGGAGGTGAAAAATCAAAACTTGCAGAGAGAAAAAATCGTCACTGTTATAGATGACGTTGAAGGTTCAAGATTTGAGTGGAGGAAGTTACAGCAGATGTAGGGAAATAGCAAGGGAACTAAAATGAAAAAGCGGAGCTGAAATGTGGCTGATTTTGGTCTTAAAGCCACAGGACCAAACTTTATCAAGTGTGGAATTGCTTGTTTGTTTTGGGGAGTTGGGGGGGTTGGGGCCACATTCGGTAGTGCTCAGGGCTTACTCCTGAATGTGTTCTGTGGACTATATGTGGTACAAGGGATTGAACTGGGGTCAGCTTCCTGTATGACTTCTCTAGGCCTGGAATTGCATCTTAGCCATAAGTTATCTCTTCAGATGATATTGTCTAATAAAGATGCTGTAATATAATTTGACTGATATCAAAGAATTTAGGTTAATATACAAGAGTAGCTGTGAGGAAGCAGCAGAGTGTAGAAGATCAACATCAATGGCCTGTTACAGAGAAACCACTTAGAAAGGAAACACTGATAGAGGCAGCAAATTTCATAGTTGTCGAATTTTAAGGAACCACAGCCACTGTGACCCTCTGCAACCTCTAGCCCAGCCAAGCAGCCACCAAAACCTTACCCAGCAACGAAACTTGGATGACTCAAGGCTCACATGCGTTTAGCTTTAATAGTAGTTTTGTTTTGTTTTGGGGCCACACCTGGCAGTGCTCAGGACTTACTCCTGGCTCTGCACTCGGGGAACACTATGGTGTGCTATAACACTATGAGGGTGCTCTAAGTGTTCATTTGAAAACCATTTTTATTACTGTCGGGGCCAATCCTGGAGTTGTGACGCTGTGGGGCTACCAGGCGACACCCAGCAAACAGTACTGTTGGGTCACCTCAGGGCCTCCCCCATATAAAGCATGTGCTCTGCCACACGGGTTATATCTCCAATCCCTATTCCTGGCCCTTAAAATTCCTTTTTCTCGGGGGGGGGAGGCCCCGCCCCATACCTGGTGGTACTCAGGGGTGACTCCTGGCTTTGGCTCTGCACTTAAGACCCAGGAAACCGTATGGGATACTGGGGATTGAAACTAGAAAGATAATGCCCTACCCACTGTGCTATCGCCTTCGCACCAAGTCTCTAAATTTCTTATTACGATATGTGATTCTTATTATGATATTTCTCAGACACAATAGTACTGCACACTTAGCAGAGCACAATCTAGTGCAAATATAACTTTCACTTCCCCTGGGAAACCAGAGGGCAGGTGTGATTCACTAAATAGAAACCCTTGCCCCATGGCAGGGCCTGGAGCCCACCCCCAGGTGCAGCAGAAACAGTGCAGCAGAAACAAGAGAAAGAATTAAGGAGCAAAAGACCTGCACACTGACCAGATAGAGGAATGTCCATTAAATGACAAGGATGCTGAGTGTCAAAGCCCCGCCCTTTGCAACTTGCTGTTTTTGTCTTCTAGCTGGTTTTGCAAAATCAGGAAAAAGAAAATGAACACTATGCAATGGTTACCTTGTAGCTCATAAGCAAAGAACATGAACACATTCCATTCCAAATGGTTTCTAATTAGAAATTCTTAATGATCAAAAGGCAGCTTTCAAGACAGCAAGATGCCCAATGTGTTTCATGCCCTATATCCTGCCCCCCCTCCCCTCACTCCTTTACTCCCATTTTCCTGTAGCCGTTACTTGGGACAGAGCCAGCCCAGGTAAGAAAGGCACTCAGGCACGGCCCCCACCAAGGGTTTGGGTTCAACAGTGACTTGCTTTGAACTCGCCAGAGGATTTCTCTCGCACTCAACTGAGGACTTAAGCCATAACTTTAAGAAAAGAAAATCTGAAAGTACGAACAGTCTTTCCCACTTCCAGTGCTTGTTTTTCTGCCACTATTGCCAAACAAGCCACTACTCAACCGCTTGTTTTTCCTGAAGTGTTAATAACTTTATAATAGACCGTCTCTGAGATTCTCTTGGTGAGGAAGGGGAGACAGGTCTGGATGGTCTAAAGATCTCATGCTGTAAGGCTCGCGCCAGGCAAGGCCTGCCTTCTGCACTCTGCAGCAGGGGCGGCTCCTTACCGTCCTCTGGAATGACTGTCAGTGTGACGCTGACTCCGGCATCTTTGATCAGCTGGACTATGTTGTCGTGGGACAGCTCAACGATGGACTGCCCATTCACTGCTGAGATGTGATCGCCGATTTTCAACCTGCCACAGCGATCCGCAGGACTTCCTTCTATGACTCGGCCGATTTTATGAGGAATAACTTTGGGGATAAAAAACAGGTTAAAAAATTATTTACAATGTGCGGCTGGAGAGATAGTACTGCAGGTAAGGAACTTGCTTTGCACGTGTCTGACCCAGGTTCAATCCCTGGCAACACACAGGGTCCCCTATGCACATCCCCCATCCCCCATGAGTGATCCCTGAGTGCAGAGCCAGGAGTAATCCCTGAGTAGTGTCTGGAGTGGCTCAGAAACCAAAACACAAACAAAATTATCTACAGTGTTATATACCAATAATCTGTTATAGTCTGCAACAATATTGAATTGGTTAAAGGAAATTTCATCCACTTACTGTTGGGTCAAGGAAAGGGTTAAAAATTTATCTCTGGAATTTATGGGCAACCACCTGTGCTAACTCTGGAAATACCTGAGAGACCCAGGGATTTGTGGGCAACCACCTATGCAGAGTCCCTTATAAGTGGCAAGGATATGTACACTGGCTCTGAGCAGGGTCAGAAACATCTTCTCACTCTTGAAGAGCGACTGTGACCACATCTTGGTCCCCTCGCATTTCAGATGGGGAAAATGCTTTGTTTGGCTCTAGGTTGGAGTTATCTTGCACGCTCTTAACTGACACCCTGAAATGCAGTTTTAGGGGATAAATGTGACTGCATCATCGAGTCATTTCTCACAGGCTTGAGGCCTAGGCCCACCGCTGTAAATTGGGAGTAAAACTTCTTTTTCATCTATCCTGTGTTCTGGTCTCAGTAGCTCACATTGAGTTTGGGTGAACTTGGGTGTCACAAAGATATAGTGAATACTCGTGATTTATCATCATCATTTTAAAATTCAATATAAAACATCAAAAAAATTCTTGAAAAATGTAGAGGCCCCGGAGATGGCTCAAAGGATCAGTGTGCATGCTTTGGTGTGGGGGCCAAGGGTTCGAACCCTGCACCATATGGCTGTCTAAGGAACACTGGGAGCAACCCCAAGTACAGAGCAAGGAGTAGCCTCTGGGCTGTCCTGGGGTGACCCCAAAACAAAACAAACAGAAGTAGCAAGAACACCTGGCATGTGATTACTCTAACCAGTTGCAATGAGTTCCCTATTATCTTCCACAATGGGTAGAGGTGCTCTTTATACATCTGGAGTCAAGGCATACATCCACTGTTATTTTTTAATTACCATAAACCTTGCCCTCATTTTTATACTGTCACCCTTGAACTTGTGTTGGAGGCACCTCACTGAAACTACTGATAGCAGCTCCTGAATCAAATACGTCTGATTTGTTCTCAGTTATTGAGATTTTCCCGGGTTTGAACTCTCTTAGGAGCCTCCACTGTGAGGGCAGGGCCTCACTCCCACAAAGCACTGCGTATGTGAACCAGATTCATGCCTGGAGCTCACAGGTTACGGTCAGGAATTCAAGCGCAGGGAGAGAACTGACGATCCCTATGAATCACACTAAGTCAAAGGCAACTTCATTTCTCTTCTTTTGAAATGCTTCCATATCTTTTTAAAAATCAAAAAACGGATTGAAACTGTAACGTTAAATGCATAAGATCATTTGGCCTGTGGATAAAATCCCACCCTGGCTGCATGAAGCTGAGTCTGACACATCTGCCAATGATACATGGGCTCTTTGTTCTTTCAAGCCTAAAACGCTAAAGGTGTCCTTAGACTAATAATTGAGACCCTCTGCTCTTATTGTGCACGCTTTATTTTTAAACAATTGGGAAATACTGTAAAGTGCCTTGTACCATTTAATAATGGGCCTTGTAAAGGTTCTTCCTATTGAGAAAGCAAACGTTCTTTCTATATTCTGAGAGTACCCTTACCTTACATCAGTAAACTTAGCAAGGAGCTTGAGCCCATGAAACTACTGAATAGAGAGGGACAGTATCTTCTGTATGGAGCCACACCCAGTGGTGCTCAAGGCTTGCTGCTGGCTCTGCACTCAGGTATCACTCCTGGTGGGCTCGAAAGAACATATGGGATGGTGGGGCAGGAACCTGGGCTGGCTGTGTCAGGGCAAGCGCGTACGGAGTGTACTGCAGCGCCAGGCCCTGGGGCAGGGTCAGGATCTTAGATGGCCGATGACTGGGCTCCTTGATGAAAGTTTTGAGTTGGATCTAGGACATTTACTGGATCTTCACCTGGATGGTGAGTGAGTCTCGCCACAGCTTAGGCTCCTGAGAGCAGCACTGTCCCCAGGCTGTCTAGGGTTATTCAGTGAGAGATTTTATCTTCAGAAAGAGTCAGTCAGTATCAGAAGCCAGTGGCCCTTTGCTCTGAATTCCATCAGGCATGTGTCAGGCCATTTTTCTCACAAGCAAAATAGTTAGAAAAGCACCAGAGCTGTGCTGGGCAGGACCGTGTGAATCACCAGCAGCAAAGCAGAGCCATTTGTGACTCATAGCAACTGAGGCCACCTTCTCAATCAATACCTAAGTTATTCCTCTTCGGAGAAAAGATTTATCCATAAGCTGTGTTCATGCTGGATCCCCCAAGAAGAGAAAAGGTATGCGCTATCTAGAAAAAGGCTCTAACCTAAATAATCTCTGATGTCTTGGGGTCTCGTCTCATGTTATATGTGGCGTAGTCAAAAGGCCAAGTCTCAGTACAGGATTTCCCAAAGGCTTAAGTAACAGCAAGACTGCTACAGAAAGGAGCTAAGGGGCAGGAAGTGCTGGGCAGCACAGCACATACTTTGAATGTGTGTAGCCCTGAGTACAGAAACAAAAGCATGAACAGACCAGAAGGTGCCAGAAAGGGGCAAGCCAGGTAGACTGAGCAGCAAAGGGAGCCTCTGAGCATCTCGGCAGGCCCAGGAGGCTGTCGGGTAAGCGGCCCCTTCCTTGAGGTGGCTGCCAGAGCAGGTCTTCACACATTTATCATATCTGTTCATCTTCACTCATCCTTGGCCTAAATCTGTCTCACAGTGGCTCCCATCACTTCTGTGTCCTTAAAACAGTTCTTTCCAGGAGAAGAAAGGACAGTGTCCTCTTCTCAAAGAAATCTCTTGCGACCAGAATTGAAGAGTATATGATAAAAGAAAAACTCAAAGCTTGAAAGTGCCAGCAGAGACAAAACTGGCCAAGTCTTTGGCATCTGAGTTGAGGTCTTTTCTAAGTACTCCATTCATTCATCCCTCATGCAACCTAGATCCAGGGCCAAACGCATGCTGGCTAGAGTCATGGTATTTGACAAAGTCAGACAGAGTCTCCGAATTTTATATCTGGTAGAGTGATATTACTGGGAACACTTCTTGTGATAAATATGACCAGGAAACAATACCCATTTATGCCAACAACCTGTCTTTTTAACCTGGACCAATAACCATTCTTCCCTCCTTCCCTCCCTCGCTGTGTTCAGGGTTACTTAGCTGGGTTCTTGGGAGAGCCAGGGATAGAACCCAGGAGGGCTGCAGTGTGCAAGGCAAACGCCCTTCTGCAAACATCTTCCCTGTTGTACAATTTTGGCACCTCCACCAATAGCTTTCTATCTTTACTTTTTGAGCCACACCCTACTGTGCTTAGGGGTTACTCCTGGCTGCATACTCAGGAATCATTCCTGGCAGTGCGCAGAGATCCATATGGTCTCCTGGGGATTGAACCTGGGTCGGTTGGCTGAGTGCCAGTCAAATGCCCTCCCCTCTGTACTATCTCTCCATCCCCTCTTCCAACAGCTTTCTGCACCAAACCTTCTCTCTAAGGCAGTTTCCAGCAAGTCACTCAGTCTCTGTGAGTGAAAACTTCCAGCAAACTTACTGCAGGACCCCAGAATGCCTCTTCATCTCTGAGATAAAGGTGGGCCACGAAGGATTCCTGCAGAGCTCAGCATTTCGTGAGGCGATTAGCAAGCATTTCAGTGACATTACCAACTCTGGTTTTGCACTGTGAATAAAAATTTTGAGTCCTCTACATAAAATTCATTGACAACCAAAAGTCTAATTTACCATTCAGGCTGATAATTAATGAGCTGCAAACACTCATTTCCTGCCACACATGAACTGTTACCTCAATCTTACATTTTAATTGGGCTTTCTTTCCCATCTCATTACTCAAATATTGATAAACTTTTTCAAGTTCCTTATTTAAAAAGTGAAGATAGTGACAAATAAATTAATAAATAACAATGATGATAATGGGAGCAGAAGTCATCAGCAGCAACAATAGCAGCTAACATTTCTGGAGGGGCCAAGCTATGGCTTTATCTCCACATCCTTTATCTCCTTTGTCCTCTGCCTCCGATGAGACAGAAATGTCATTTGTCCAGGATGAGACAGTTATGAAAAAGCAAGAGGAGAGCTTGAATTCAAACCTATCTGCTTGCACAGCCCAACTCTAAATCATACTTATGCAAACATCTAACCATATTATGGTAAGCAAAGCCCCAGAAAAGAAAAAAAAAACCCAAGCAACTCTAAAAGTATCATTAAAACTTAAATATAAATGAAAGGTTTAGAGTTGGCTTATGGTTCCTGGCTCCTAGTGCCCCCCAAGAACTGCGGGGTGTAATCAATGGCCTATAGCACCACTAGACCCCAAAAGCTGTGCTGGACCATCCTACTGGCTGAGCATTTCTAGGAGTGGCCCCAATTCCCTGAGCCGTGCTTGGAAGGATCATGCAAAAATTAATTTAAAACAGGCCTGAGAAATGGTATAGCAGTCAATGTAGCTTGCCTTCCACATAGCCGACCTGGATTTAATCCCTGGGACTGCAGCTGTTCCCAGAACACTGCCAGGAGTAATCCCTGAGCACAGAGCCAGAAGTAATCCCCAAGTACTACCAGGAGTGCTCCCTGAGCTTAGAGCCAGGAGTAAGCCCTGAGCACTGCCGGGTGTAGCCCAAACACACCTCTTCACAAACAAATCTAAAAATTTAAATATAAATGAATACCATGACACATTAGTTACTACAATATATTAAACTATAGCTCAGACGAGCCTCACTCATGAAGGAACCAGCAGAGGAACCCAGGTGTGCAGGACCCAAGTCTGAGATCTTCAAGCCTGCTTGGACTGGGACTGGGCCTCCTCCACCCAGATCCCCCATCTTCCAGTAGCTAGATATTACACCCACCAACTACCCCCAGCATGGGCGCTGTGTAATCCCATCAACGGCCAAGATCCAGAGACTATAAAATCAAGCTCCCAGAAGTGCACACAACTTCTTATTGTCTAGTTTTTGCTCTCGGAGAACCCAGGAGGCTACTGAGAGTATCCTGCCCGCACGGCAGAGTCTGGCAAGCTCCCCATGGCATATTCGATATGCCAAAACTCAATAACAATGGTGGGTCTCATTCCCCTGACCCTGAAAGAGCTTCTAGTATGGCACTTGCTAAAATCTCAGGGCTACGACGAATGGAGACATTACTGGTGCCTGCTCGAGGAAATCAACAACGGGATGACAGTAATACAGTGATTAAATTGTAGCATACTAAAATTTAATTCTAACCAATAATATATAAATATGCTTAACTCTAGGAACTGTAACATACTTAAATAAACTACTCTAAATTGCTTTTTGCTTTTTTGATTTTGGGCCATGCCTGATGATGCTCAGTGGTTACTCCTGGTTCTGTACTCAGGAATTATTCCTGGTGGTGCTTTGGGGACCAAATAGGATGCTGGGGATTGAACCTGGGTTGGCCACATGCAGGGCAAATGCCCTGCCTGCTCTTATCACTCTGGCCTCCAAACTGCTTATATTTATGAATAACAAACTCTTCCCTAAATTTTGTGGTATAAGAAAAAGAATATCCTTAGTATTAAAAAGGGGTACAGTGAATATCCTGAGCAACAGTGATTTGATTTTTTTCCCCTTGAGTTCAGGTGAGTGCCTTGGATTCTACTATGGCAGTAGGAAGAGAATTTGAATGTATAAATGCTTATTTCTAATGAAACAACATAAGACACATCTACAAGCAGCTCCTTTCCTTTTTCTGACACAATTGTCCTCACAGCATCGGTGGCAGTTCTAGTTCTAAGTGTTACCATGACAACTGCTTTTGGAAAATGGAAACTTGTAGCAGTGAGCAGTGACCTGATACTGTAGTATAACTCATCCATGTCATAGAAGCTTCTTCCTTTGCATACTTGCATTATTTTTAGTAAGACTTTTGCAAATTGAATTTTTCCCCCACTAGACTTTTTTTTGAAAGCGCTTTCTTTTTTAAACTACGGTTTTAAAACCACCTAGTCTAAAAGGTTCTTAGTACTCCACATATGATCAATTCTTACTGGCAATGGCAAAGGCACATTTTCCTGGGGTTGAAGATTTTTACCATTTTGCTTGAAAAACTAAAGTGGTTGGATAAGCAGGAAGCAGATCAACTAAGCTGGTTCCATCTTACATACAAATGGACTTTATATTTAAAGGTGGTTATTTCTTTTTTATATAATTTTTTCTTTCTTTTCAGAAACAAAGACAAGGCAAATATTTAATTTAATAAATCATAACAATCCTGAACACACAAGAGATAATCCCTCCTTTGTGGAGAGAATCAATATACACATTCATTCTTTCCAGATAAGACTATTCTGCTAAACTTGGTTCAGGATATTAAGATTAATTTTTAAAGATTCTGACAAAAATTTAATATTTCAATGAAGCATATATGAATGGCAGAAATGCTCTTATCCCTCAAGAAGGCTGCTTTTAGAACTAGATGGCAAAGAACTACTTAGGGCACACGTGGGTGATGTGCCTTATGGTCATCTGTTCTGCTTCTTAACCTCCCCTAGCATTCAATTCATCTACCTACAATTTCTCCTAATTGAACCATAGCACTGTCCTCCAGTTGTTCATCAATTTGCTCAAGCGGGCACCAGTAACGTCTCCATTATGAGACTTGTTATTGTTTTTGGCATATCAAATACACCATGGGAAGCTTGCCAGGCTCTGCTGTGTGGGTGGGATACTCTTGGTAGCTTGCTGGGATCTCCGAGAGGGATGGAAGAATCGAACCCAGGTGGGCCATGTGCAAGGAAAACGCCCTACCCGCTGTGCTAAAAATCTGTGTTCCCACTTATTAAAAAAATGCAGCATTGTCCTCTCAATAAATCCTTTAGGTCATGTCTATGATCTATCACATACTTGATGCAAACCAGGTGAAGACTGTGTCATGGGCTCCGACAAGGGAGTCACACCACCTGTGAGGCTGGGTTCAGGTCACCTGACTTGGCAAACATAGAAAATGTCCAGCTTTTGTAAGCTGAGTCTGAAGGCAACTTACACACGATTCCCAACACTCCCATACGCTCATGGGGGCAGGAGGTGCCACTGTGAGACTTACCTCCGGGAGGGGGCTTGCTCTTAGAGGTGAGGATAACAAAGCCAAATCCTTCGTTCTCCTTTCGTTGCAAGACCACATCGTAGGCATCGTGGGGGGCTGGCCGGGCCAGGCGGGGAGACCCACTCTGTGCTGATGTGACAGGAGCCGCTCTCTCATCCTCGGCTGCTTTTTCTGGAAGAAACACCACCTGGTTTACGATTTCTGGGGTGTTTTCATTACATCAAACCTTGGTATTGTTTCTTGTTGGTGTGCAGTTTACAATCAGAATGAAGTTGTGTTTTAGGGCTGTGGGGCTGACATACCAACCCCTCGCCAGCCAACACCCTCCACCATTGTCCCATGGCACCGTGATTTGTGATAACTCAAGTACTTTTGTGCTGAGTTGCACAAGGAAACTTTAGTTTCTAATAACCTGAAGATAAGGAAACCAGTGCCCCCTCCTCTGCCTCTGGCTTGGATACAATCTAAATTATGTCTCAAGTTTATCACTGGAAACATATGCAGCATTATCTCACTTCAAGGGAAAATTTTCAAATTTTCATGTTCATGAAATTTCGTAGTTAAAAAAAATCTTCAAATCCTTTTTTAAACCTCCACTGAGGTTTTTTACTTAAAAAAATTATTTTCAGTATTTTTTGGGGGGAATGTGTGCCATGCCTGGTAGTGCTCAGGGCTTACTCCCAACTCTGCACTCAGGACTCACTCCTGGCTGTGCTTTGGGGACATATGGAATAGCAAGGATTGAACCTGGTTTGGCTACATGGAAGGTAAACACACCCTATCTGCTGTACTATAAACAGTTCTGCATTTGAACCTTGACAAGCAATTTTTTTTTTGGCTTTTTGGGTCACATCCAGCGATGCACAGGGGTTACTCCTGGCTCTGCACTCAGGAATTACCTCTGGCGGTGCTCAGGGGACCATAAGGAATGCTGGGAATTGAACCCAGGTTAGCTGCATGCAATGCAAATGCCCTACCGGCTGTGCTATTGTGACAAGCAATTTTTAACAGAATTTAAAATGAGATCCTGAGATCCAACACAGCAAATATTCATTTAGAAGCAACTTTAAGTAAAACTCAGTGGCAGGGATGTACTCTAAAGGGTGAGGGCACATGCTATGCGAGCAGAAGGCTTGGGGTCTAGACCAACACCATCTAGCCCTAAGCACTGCTGTGTTTGAGCCCAGAGCACTAAGCCAGGAGCAGCCCCAGAGTATAGCCTAGTGTGACTCTTGAACGGAAAAATATGATGATAAATCTACAGGCAGTAACGGCTCTGGAGTGGCCATGGCACCAGGATGAAGAAGCTGTCAGGGAGCAAACTGAGAATGATTTGCCATCTATACAGACAGGATCAGCTTGATGCAATGGGCTTTTACCACTGTGGTTTCCAGATGGATTTCTCAGATGGGTTAACTGCTCTACTTGCCCCCAGCACTGCCAGGTGTGGCCCCTACTACAAAAAAACAGTTTCAACCTGATACTGTCATTGACAAAATTCACCAGTTTTAATACAAGCCCCAGACAGTAGTCTGCTCATCCCTTTTTTGACTGCTGTATTACTTCGTAGTATCACTATTTCAGGATTCTTTGACCTTACATCACCATCCACAGTGGGGCCTTGGATCACACCGAAGAGATCCTCTATTTAGTATGATCAACTAAGAGAATACAAAATCATATTAAGAAAGAAGAAGATAGCCAGCAAAGCCATAGAGAAAAACCGGTTCTAAGCCTCTGTTTCTGCTTTAGCTTCTGACATACCTGCGGCGAAGATCTTCCTCCTCACGGTCAGCAGCACATGGCCATTCCGCGCAGCAGTCGTCATGAGGTCAAGGACTTGCTTGTGGGATTTCCCCTTGACAGGAATCCCATCAATGCACATCAGCTCATCTGCCGCTCTCAGCCGACCATCCTTCTCAGCGGCCCCCAGAGGAATGATGGCGCCGATATATATCTGAAAGGATGAAGAGTGGCTTGTATATAGCCTACTACTGACAGCAGCAGAAGCGGGAAGGACTTCTGAACAGTGTGGGCGTACCACGCCACTGTTTGTAGCTCAACAAGGGAAAGAGGCATGTTTCAGAAAGACTCGATCAGAAAGTGCCACTTTCCCATATGCAAGTGCAAATAAGCATGCATGTGATCCCTGGAGGATCTAAGAAAGAAAGAAAGGAAAGAAAGAAGGAGGGAAGGAAGAAATACAGGGCAGAAAGAAGAAATACAGAAGAGGAGGAAGGGAGGGAGAGAGAGAGGTAGGGAAGGGATGAAAGAGGGAGGGAGGAGGGAAGAAGGAAGGAAGGAAAGAAAGGAAGGAGGGAAGGAGGGAGGGAGGGAAAGAGAGGGAAGAAGGAAGAAAGGGAGGAAAGGGAAGGAAGAAAGGGAGGAAAGGGGAGGAAGAGGAAGAAGGTAAATGGATGAAAGAAAGAAAGAGGAAGGAAGAAGGAAAGAAGGAAGAAAGATATGATGGGAGGAAGGGCGGGAGGGAAGGAAGGAAGGGAGGATGGAGGGAGGGAGACAGAATGGAAGACACCATCACCTGCATCACCTGCACGAGGGAATAAAGCAATTAGACTTTGGAAATGCAGTTCCATGAAGCCATTACTTAAAGTGAGAGCCAACCATCAGGAAACATGCTCATTTTCCAGACTGTCACAGTCCGGGGGTCTCTCCACACTCCCACCAGAAGCTCAGGGCAGAAGCTGCAAAATGGTTTGTGCCCAAATCCCAACGTGGCAAACAATGAGTAGGGACACAGGACTGTGAGGGTAACTGGCACCTGGCTACACAGACTCAGGCAGCCATGTGGGTGGACAGTCACCCATCACCCAATAGTCCTGAGTGTTGGACGTTATTCCTGTCGCTAACACTTGGCATCAGGAGACAGGTAAATTCCAAGAAATGCCAAGCTGTTTGAGGGACATCTGCAAAACGCTGAAGTGAATTCTATCAAGTATTAACAAAACAGGAAGCAATGAAGCAAAAACACATGTGTCATCAGGAGCCATTGAGCCCAAGATCCACTTTGGGATCTTATATTTGTCCTTTGTAGAACAACCTTCTTTAACAATCAGCTTTGTCTCTGATTGTTCTAACTGCTACCGATAAGACTAATTAGAATACATTTAATGCTAGCTAAATCAGATGTTTCATGCAGAAATAGAAAGAAGGTTATCATTTTAAGAGATAATTGTTACTTACCTAACTTCCAAGCATGACAATAGTGTAATCTTTTTTGACATTATACAAAGAAAATTTAAATATGTTCTGAAATTCTATAAAGTACATAGCTTCTTTGTCTATACCAAATAGAGAACAAAGCTTAAAAATAAAACCTTTTTCATTTGTTCTCTAAATTAACTTTATGTGAGACTCATGTATAAATAAAATTCTAGATTTTAAATACTTTGCAAACACAGTCCTTCTGCTTCTGGATGGAAACTCTAGTTTCAAAGGCAAGGATGAGATGGCATACAAAGTACTGAGCATGAAAATGTCAGCCCATGAATAAGATTAGGTGCCATCAAATGCAGGGATCATACCAGCTGTCCTTACGGGGACACAGGGGCTAAAGAGACTCCAACACTGGATTCTGAATTACATTTCTCTTAGAGAAGAGAATGTCTTAAGACCAGTTTAACAGGGAGAGAGTGACGGAACAGGGAGAAGTTGCTAAGGCACTTGTCTTTGCATGGCCGGCCCAAGTTTGATCCTGGCACCCCATATGGTCCCCCAAGCACTGCCAGGAATGACCCCTGAGCACAGGAGTATGCTCCAAGCACAGCCAGGTGTGGTCCCAAATCCAAACCAAATCAACACCCACTCCCTACCTCCAGCAAAATACCAGTTTGGCAAAGTAAAAAAATACTTATGAAAAAAAATACTTATGTACAATACTTATGTATTGGAGTGATAGCACAGCGGTAGGGCGTTCGCTTTACAAGCGGCCAACATGGCCGACCCGAGTTCGATTCCTCCGCCCCTCTTGGAGAGCCCGGCAAGCTACCGAGAGTATTCGATATGCCAGACACAGTAACAATGTACAAATAGAAGTAAATAAATTGTTATGCAATTTTTAGCTGGCTTTCTCACTTCTTACCTATAGTTTTCATCCTCAGCTGGGACAAGTTAACTGAGAACCTTGGTAACTAATAGATGCAGTGTTTCCCAGTATAATAAAATTCTTAGACAAAATGGCCTTTTTGAAAAGTTCTGCAGACAGGGCTGGAGAGATAGGGCAGTGACTGTGTTCCCACTGAGGCTAGCGCTGCTTGGTCCTTGCCACCACATGGGCACTTGAGTTCACCCAAGAACAATCCCTTGAGCAGACACTCAGAAGTCCCTGAGCACTGCTAGGTGTGGCATCCGGCCCCATCAAGCACAAACACAGACACAAACCACACAATATATTTCTAACAAACAGCCACTTTATCTTTATCTGTTTTGTTGTTTTGGGGCCACACCCAGCAATGCTCAAGGCTTACTCCTGGCTCTGTACTCAGAAATTACTCCTGGTGCTGCTTAGGGGACCATATGGGATGCCAGCAATGAAATCTGGGTCAGCCACATGCAAGGTAAGCACCCTCCCACTGTACTATCTCTCCGGTTTCCAAACTGCCACGTCAAAGTGTTAGCAAGTACAGGAGCTGTGCTGATTGCTCTGGAGTGAAGTGTAATTCAGGAATGCAGGGGGGCCTGAGCCAGGCACCTGCCCTGCAACACCAGAATTAGCACTGATTAGCCAGCCATGCAGAGCATCACCAGGAGAGGCCCTCTGAATATGCACTCCACATGTGGCCGTTGTAGGAATGTTTTAACATGAATAACCCGAATCCCAAGGATTTAAACTTACAGACTGGTCAGGCCCGTCTCCTCCAAGCACCCTGAAGCCAAACCCTGATTCCTGCTTTCGAAGAAAGACATCCAGGTCTTTGGTGTTTGGAGCTACCAAAAAAGTCAGAACATATGAAAATGAATACTTTGGTATATTATGAAAGGTTTAAAATAAAACAAAGTTCAATAATAGGATAACTTTACTGAGCATAATAACCTCAGAACACCTAATGTATGAAAACTTACACCTGAGTATAGTCCTACCACAAATTTAACAGTAAATCCTTCTTTGGAAACCTTAGCAGAACTTTATATTAAGATTACTCAGGAATAATTATTACCTGTCCCCTCTCATGTGCTTGGTCGTAGGTTTTACCACTACCCCCTAATTCTTTCAAATACTATAGTATTAACTACAGTATTATACTTTGGTGGCTGGAGCAATAGCACAGAGGGAAGGGCGTTTGCCTTGCATGTGGCCGACCCGGGTTCAATTCCCAGCATCCCATATGGTCTCCTGAGTACCGCCAGGGGTAATTCCTGAGTGCAGAGCCAGGAGTAACCCCTGTGCATTGCCGGGTGTGACCCAAAAAGCAAAAGCAAAAAAAGAAAAAAAACCCAATACCGTATTATACTTAAAGTCCTAAGAAAAGAGAGCCCATAAAAGACCTTAGTTCTATTCCTAAGCTAATAACTTCATCTCAGAAGATCATTCCTTAGGAACTGATCACTTAGCTGAATTCTACAAAACGACATTATTAGGCACATTCTGTGATGCTCAGGGTTCACTCATGGTGGTGCTCAGGGGGAGAATATGAAATGCAGGGGATCCAACTTTGGTCAGCTGTGTGCAAGGTAAATGTCCAATCTTCTGTACTACTGATCTGGCCCCACAAAATGACATTATTTAAAATTCCAATTTTTGCAGTGCTGGTGATCAAACCCAAGGCCTCACACATGGCAGACCAGCACTCTACAGATGAGCTACTTCCCTGGCCAATATTACTCTTAGAGAAAATATGTAACATGGTTGGAGAGATAGTACAGTGGGTGGCCCCTTGCCTTGCAACAACACACCTGGGTTCTATTGTATTCCCTAGCACCATATATAGTCCCCTGAGCCCCACCAGTAGTGATCCTTGAGTGCAGAGCCAAGAGTAAGCCCAGAGCACTGCCACATGTGGCTCAAAAGAAGACAATCAAGAAACTAACTCTGTAAGAGACACTGAGGTCTGAATCATCCATTCATCTCACAAAGCAAGTCAATGGCAGAGTAAAGGTTTAAAACCCCCTTTAATATCCAGGGACCAACTTCCTCTGCTGAAAAACACGTACCATTAATCAGAATATTAGGTCAGGGAAACCTACTACATGGTGAAAACTTTATCTCTGGGAAAATGTTATTGTTACTTTCAAGCACAAAGTAGTTGTTATTTCTAAGAAAGCAAAAGAGAGAGCAGCAAAGGAGTACAGGAAAAGGGGCTACGGATGAGTCAAGCCCAATAATGTTCTCAGAAGCAAGGTCTGTTGATGAATTCTCCTACTAGAACTATAGAACCTTAGAAATAAAAGAGACTCATGAGGCCCACTCACATGAGATAAAAGCAATGGACAGTTTATATGAGTAGCTAAAGATTTACCAGGAAACGTGAAGAAAGGGATCTCTACAATTACGCTAAAAACTAAATGATGGCTTTGCTGTGCTCATACCTGGTTTTTATCTTTCCAATTATGGTCAGGGACTTAACAAGATAAAGCTCTGCAATTGATTCAATATGTATAAAGTCAATGACATAAAACGTTTATGAAATCAATGACATAAAACATTTCCACCTAGATTCATCTTTTCCAATGTAGACTTCAATTTCTTAAGAATAAATGGAAAAAATTCATCCTACTTAGAGCTGCTTTCTGACTGCAGAGACTGTAGCAGTAGAAGGAAATGACTTTGATTCTGGTTTCTGCTTTGGCATTGCCCTCTCCTCACCCTTAGCTGCATGCTGGCTCCTGCCTCAGGCTGCACACACTTTCTCCACAGTACAGCTCCCTGACTTATCCCAAGACTCTTTCTAAGGCACTGTCACTGTCCTGTTGTTCATCAATTTGCTGCAGCGGGTCCAGTAACATCTCCATTGTGAGACTTCTTGTTCTAAGGCACAAGTCCAGTAATATTGTCCTAGGAGTCAAAACCAGAGCATGGCTCTCTGCATTATGTGACCAGCTCAGCTTCCTGAGGATGGTGGAACGGGCCTCCACACCCTGCCCTTGGTTCCTCGTGCCAGTCACAGCTAGTCACACAGAACTAACATGCAAGTCACTATGCAGAGGAGAGTCCTTCCTTTAGTCCTTTTCATCTGTTTCATATATGCTTCTTACCTATGAAGGATCTTAATGTTCTACATGAATCATATCAGATACGTTTTACCCCCTACACTGGTAAAATTGACCATTTCCTATTTTGATCCAAATTTATCCAAAACTCCCTTCTCTCACTGCCTGTTAAACTGATTTGTACATCTTCCATTACATTATGTCTTTTCCATCTAGGGTCAATCATCTTTTTTGGATGCAGTGCCTATGTCTGATGGTATAAAGTAGAAATAGGGACAAAATAAAAGGTTTTGAAGAAGAACAAATACTTAATATAAATCCAAGAAGCCTAGAATTATAGCAACATGGTAAGAAAAGGATCACATGAGATGGGATAGTCCTAGGTGTTTTCCTTTCTTTAAAATTGCATTTTTCTATTTTTCTTCTTTTCTTGAAAGATTTTTAAAAATTTCTTTAAAAATTAGGACTATGCCTAATTTTTAATGGAATCCTCCATGGGCCAGAGAGATCACACAGTGGTAGGGTACCTGCCATACACATAGCTGAACTGGGTGCGATCTTTGGCATCCCACATGGTCCCCAAAACCCCGCCAGGAGTAATCCCTGAGCTTAAGGCCAGGAGTAAGCCCTGAGCACCGCTGGTTGTGCCCCCACCCCCATAAAAATAAAAAAAAAAACAAAACAAATATTCTAATTAATTTTAGTGCATGTTCTTCTTAACTATCTCACAACTACTTACGTTTATCTTCATATAAAGTCTTAGACTTCAGGTAGACCTCAGAAGGATCCAGTTTGGGGGATCCTGATCTGACAATGCTGGGTGGGAAAGGCATAGGCTGGGGAAGAGGCTCATTTATGGCCTCCAAACTTCCAGAATTTTCTTTCTTATCCGTTTTCTGAAATGGAAAAGACCGTTACTTAGGATTTTAGAGATGACTGACTAGTGACTGACTAGTTCATACATGATCTAAACCAGGTGCAGAGACATATTAAAGCTGTGTGGGTGGTGGGGTCAAGGTCATGAGAAGTTTCCCGTCTTAGAGGAATTCACATGCAGAACCAGGTATATTTGGTTAAAAGATATTTAACTTAAATCATAAAAAAGTGTGTGATGATTTCAACTGAAGGGAAGCACTCCTACCCTTTCTCCCAACAAGATCCAAATCAACATTGAGGAGATGGACGGGGCACTGTGCTAGGCAACAAATAAACAGGAGGACTCCACAGGGATCCCACAGAACATTTTTAATTTTAATTTTAAAAATTTTATTTTTAATAAAATTCTTGGTAAGCCCTACCCTTCTCACTCACTAAATTTAATTCCCAACGAAGATGTTTAAGATAATATTTTTTTAAAGAAACGAGACTAGGAAGTGTTTAAATAATAAGTGGCACTGTGAAAATCCTGCATTGCCAATTCCAATTTATTATGGGAAAAATGCACCAGGCCAGGTAATCAAATAAGGAAAGAGAGTGACATCTTTTCATAATTTTTCTTCTCAGCTAGAACTTACTGCAAATAATAGTCAAGCAAAATGACTTTAGTAAAAACATTTTCATGAAATCCAGTCAATGTTTTAAGAAAACAATAGACAGTTTTGAATTACTGCTAGAAACATCAGTGATGTTGACTACATTAGGGGAGCAGCAGTTCCTCAGGGAGTGGTGACGGATAGTGCTGTGTCAGAGGTGACCCTTCACTGACCCACATCCTCTCCAATAACGGTGAAGACCAGATCAGCCTTCACTCCTGGGCCCTGGGGTTCTGTCAGAAACAGGGAGAGTCCATCAGAGTCCCCATGAGGAAACACGGCCACACAGACCTGGAAACTGTTTACCACAGGAAGCAGAGAGACACAGGCAAACAATATGACTTTCACTGGAAAGGAAGAAATGATTTCCGTTCTTACAGGAACTAAATGGCATAGACTACTGGGTGTTCTACCTGGTGGCCTAAAATGATGAGCCCCCTTTCTATCCAAGTGTCTTTCTTTGAATAGCCTATAGTTGATAGCTCTGGAGCTGGCCGTCTTCCTCTTGTGAGACGACAGGTAAGTGGTAACTATACTAGGATTCTGTACACAACTGTCTTTATGTCCACTTAATGATGGATATTTAAGCAGCTCTACATGTGCACCTCACAGTCTTGTTCAAAACAGTAGTATGGGTACACCCATTCTCTTTAGTTCTTATTCTCTAGGGCCTTAAATAGGCTACTTGGGTAAAGAATGCCAATGAAAACGCCTGGGGGCCTTTAATAACAATCAAATTGAACCCACGCCCCAACTGTTCTAGAGCACAAGTTTTTACCACCAATCCATGGACTCACATTGTTGCTCCACAGACAATTTCTTGTCTGTCCACCAAAAATGTACTGCTGCTTAATACCAGGTGCTCCTGGACCACATAGCAGTGCTGATACACAAACATGCCTACGATCAGTAACGGTTTTTATTTCTGCCTCAGCAGTCTGTGAAATATTTCTTTTATTTTCCTGGTCCACAAGTGGAAAAGGGTGGAAAACTGCTATGCTGGGTCTTCCTGCGTCTTTGGGCACCAAGAAGATGGAAGTTTATTATCTGCCCAAATACTCAGCTTCTTACCCTTGCTCCTCTGAAACATCAAGAAAGGACCTCAGCCACATCTACCTGTACTAGTCAGAGGACAGAATCCTATCAGGACAGGCTGCAAGCAGTGTGGCTGAACTGTTACAGAGGCAAGCACACCACTTCCTATCTCACATACTACCTGGGTTTCTGACACTAGCCCAGAAAATTTGCCTTGGCTTCTCCCAACTGAGAATCATCATCACCACTTGCTACAGAGGATGACGTGGCGGCATCTCCCTGCTGTGTTTGGAAGAAGAATGTGAGGGCCACGATATACTCACCATTTTGGTAGTTTTTGTTGGTGAAGGAGGACCTTAAAAAAAAATAAAATCAAATTTTTAAAAGCAGAGGAAGCATTCTAAGTTCACACATACTGCTAATATTTATGCTATAACTAGCTTCAACTTCTTAGTGGCTAGTAAATTTTACATCTTCCAGTACCAGGCATTAAACATCTATGATCTCATTTGTATGATATATGGAAGCATAAGTGTTACTGCCATTTCACAGATCAGGAAAACAAATGACCCACAGATTCACTTCCTTTCCTATACTGAGGAAGTTTAAAGCAGCAAGGTAAGATAATGGACATCAAACCTGTATGACACCAAATCCAGATGTCCTTGTTAACTTTTGCTGAAAGTTGGGATAACTCTCCATTACTCACAGAAAGATGACCACTGAGTCTACCCTATGACCCAGAGGTAAAACAAAAATGGTTGAAAGAATGAGAATGATGGAAATACTCCAAAGAAGTTAACTTGCTCAACAGTCTCCAAAATGAAAATGAAATGTCAGAGATTAAAAAAAGAAAGTGAATGGTCTACTTTATTCTTTAAACTATGAATCTTCATAGGTATGGATTTAAGAAAGCCTATTAAAATGCAACACTGTGATTAGTCCTTGGAACTGAATTTTTAATGTCTGGGGAGCAGTTCATGTCAGTTGATGACCTTGAAAATAAAAACTGTCTCTCACACATGAGCACTATAGGGCTTAATTAACATTTCCAGAGAGATTCTACTGCTTAAGATAAAAGCTTTATGAGCACCAGCTACATTTACTGCTTTTACGGAACAGATTAACACCCCATCCAACATTTTGCTTATTCACAGAGCTGTTAGCTCTTTGAAAACATCTTTAGTACATTACAGAGGTACAGATGAAGTATCCCTGGTTGAAAAAGTCAATTTCTATTACTGTCATCAACAGAAAAAAATTAAATTCGGACGCTTTTTTTTCAGCTTGTAGTAGCAAAATGCTGTAACTCTCTCTAATCAGGAAAGTCATAAATCAGGTTTTAAAAGGAACTGAGTGGAAAAGAAATCCATAATGGACATGGCTAAAACCACTAATAGCTAAGAAAAAGTGCCACAAAAGATAGTGCTTACTTAAACAGTCAAAAAATGTAAGGAAAATATGCACTTATAATACCAGTTAATTCTACTGGGAAGAGAGGCATTTTGACCCAAAGGGAGGACCATTAACAAGCAGACATGCATGCACAATGGCGAGCTCACCTTGCCGGGCGGTTACTCACCTCCTCTCAGGATCAGCAACGGCACATCTGCACCCACTGGGAACTGCTTCAGCACCTCTACCACCTGGAGGTGTGTCAGATTCTGCACATTTTGATGGTAAATTTCCTTAATGATATCCCCCTTCTGTAGGCCCTGGCACCACTGACTATCCAAGATCATTTTCACTTTCTGTCCAGTGGGGCTGTCAGCAATTGCAAACCCAAAGCCTTTTGGGCCTTTCACCAGAGGGATAGTCACAAGCTCAGGCTGGGAACCCCCTGAGGAGGCCATGGATGCTCTCTGCTCGCTGGGATCTGATGGTCCATTGAGACGATCACTGAGCAAGGTGTGTCCTGATTTTCCATTCTGGTCCAGAGTCACTGTTCCTGATTTACACTCCTGAGTATTCATGCAAGTCTCTCCCTTGGTTAATGGCTGCCCATTGATGGCCGGAGTGGCAGTGATAACGTCTGCCACTGTGTCTTCATTGTCATCAGGAAGTGGATATCCACGGCACAGAGTGAGGTTTACATACTGATTGACAGGTACCAACTGAAACATCTGGACAACATCTGCATGGGTGTGACCCAGGACACAGCTGCCATTGATATCTACAATAACATCACCTAGTGAAACATAAGCACATTTAGTAATATTAAAACAATCAAATAAGCTAATCCAATAAGCTAATAAGCTAATAAGGATAACATGTATAACATCCAAATTTAAATTAAGTAATAAAACCCTCTCCTGGGTCTGGGGTTCAGCAATAGAGCACATGCACTGCACATGAGTCCCTGGTTTCAGCCCCCAGTTCCACCTTCTACCCCTAAATCAGTCTCTGGAAAATCTCTTACTACTCATTAACTGCTAAAAAGGTAGATTTCAAATGTCTGTCATCTTCCCTTTTGGGTTTCCTCTCTCTAAAAAAAAAAAGAATATACAAATATAAAATCCTTTAAAAATTAAAAAAATTTTTTTTTGTTTGGTTTTGGAGTTATGTCCAACAGTACTCAGGGGCTATTACTGGTTCTTTGCACAGGAGTGACCCCTGGAGGTACTTGGGAGACAAAAGGTATTTCAACCAGGGTCAGCAGCATGTGAGGCAAGAACTTTAATTCCAGGACCATCTCTCTGGCCCAAAAGCTTGTATTGGTGGCAAAAGGTTATGATGCCAAGATCAAGAAATTATTTAAAAATGTAACTGAAAACTTCATGTTATTATTGTCAGGACATCCTCTGAGTCATACATACCTAAAGGGTCATATACTGGGCACATTTTGCAGGTAACAAAGAACTCCATTGGCTACTACTACAAATAGACAATTTTTAAACACCAACTAATTATTTGAATTTAAAAAGACAATAACTTCAATGCAATTAAAATTTCATTCTGGCTTGGAAAATGTAGAATTGATAATTAGAATGTTTAATGTTATGAATGGGTTTTCTTTCCATCTCATTTTTCCTATAGAGACTGCCAACTTACTGAAATCATGATTCCAAGAAATTCAAACTTCAAAAGGAAAAACAAGTGACAACAGAAAGTCTCCATAAGCAAAGACTAGACTACTCAAGACACTGAAAAGTCAACTGCTTCCCTCCTGGCAGTGCTTGGCTTTGCACCCTTCAACGCTACTCTGCTAACTTTGGTTGCAGAGTTCTGACTGCTTGACATTCATTAGCTATGTATTTTCTAGTGCGGCTTTAACTTTTAAAAATTGTCCCAAAATGTTTTGTACATTTGAATATGATTATTTCAAAGGTTATTGCCTAATAAAGTGTGCTGATTGCAGGTAAGCTAAAAAAAATCAACATGAATGGTATTCAAAACAAATGTTAGTCTTTGGAAATTTCTCTTATAATCTAGATGAAGATAGAGGAATTAGGACAAAACTCTGATTTGCTTCCTCTGATTTATGTTGCCCAGATGTTCATGGAAGTGTTGCACTGCTATCCAAATTAGATATTAGTTTTAGCCAAATTTAAATTTTCATTATGAAATCCTAATAGAACATGCAATAATTAAGAGCCATGTTTCATAGACAAAATGTTGAAAAGCCAAAGGACTGAAAAAAAATTTACTTATTTTAATCTCTAGAAGTTTGCAAATTATAAAGAAAATCTAAAATTAATTTTATTTATAAATATAACTCTTGATTCTTTTAATTCTTCTTGTTCTGAGTCTCTAACAATATGTGGGAAGCACAGTATGAGAGATCCCATATCCTCATTAAATATAAATCAATACTGTAGCAATGATCATAAGTACTATGGTAAACCGGAAAGTCTAGCAAGCTGAGTAATAAGCAAACTCAAAATCTTTCTCGAATAAAGAAATGCTCAACACCCCTACCCTCAACCCACCAATCAGAGCTAGTCTTGAATTTCGTTTAGTTCTGTTGTCATAAACACTGTCCCATAAACGTGTCTAATGATTACTGAGTAAAGACTTTGGGAAAACTATAGTAGCCTACACATAACCAGACAGAATCAAACAAATAAGTTGATTGTTTTTGTTTGTTTTTGGGTCATGCCCAGCAGCACTCAGGGTCTATTCCTTGCTCTGTACTCAGGAATCACTTCATGCAGTGCTCAGAGGACTATATGAGGTACTAGGGATCGAACCCAGGCCTGCCAGATGCAAAACTCTACCCACTGTACTATTACTCTGGTCCCAAATAATATCATTTCTCTGAACTGAATGAGAAATCCTTGGCTTGGTAATGCAAAAAGGTTTATTTTCTACACATTTTTTGAACCTTTTATTATTATTTTTTTTTATTTTGGGAAGGGGAGATATATCTGGCAGTGATCAAGCACTGCTTGGGAGTTGACCCCTGGTGGTGCTCAGGGGAAAAATGTGAATCTCTATTATGAAATCCTATTGCATATGCAATAGCTAAGAGATAGGTGTCATCAAGAGGTGCCTGGGATGGAACTTGGGTGTCCTTCATGCCAAGGAGGGGCTTGGCTGATTTTTATAACATATTCTCTCTCGAAATCAGTGTGTGCTAAACTATTTGACTACAGGAATCTGCCACTTCAGCTATATAACTCATGCACTCTCTTTAGAAATAATTTCACAGTCAGTTTTGGATGGGGCCACAGGGCTGCTGGCAGTCCTGGAGCGAGGGTCACCTGGAGCCATCTTCCCGTCCTGAGCCGCAGGCCCATCCTTCAGCACGTTCTTCACCTGCAGAAACTCATCAGGCCGATCCCCGCCGATGATGGTAAAGCCGAATCCCATTGTGCTTTTTTTTAAAGATGCTCGAACAAGCACACCTTTTAGCTGAGAGGGATCACGAGTGAAGTGTGACTTTTCTGTATCTGTGCCAGAACAAGAATGAATTTGGGGAAGAACATAATGAAACACCCCTCAAAGTCAAGCTCCCAGGCAATTTATAAACCTTAAATACAACCAACTAAAAAGGAATGAAAATGAGACACACAAGCTGTAGGAATGATTCGAATTTAAAAACATAACAAAATCACTGAAAATGCTAATTAAGGAATCCTTTCTCTTTTATTGTACTCTTTTGCTTCACCTGAAAGATGAAAAGCACCTGCTAATCTCTTCCTCATCGCCCTGCTCATACCTACTTTCTCTCATCCCAGAGTCCATAAGATGAAGTCCAAATGATGCGCCCAAAGGACTCATTATTAAATATCCAAAAGTCTTGAACAGACACTCAACTGTTCTTTTATTCCTTTCTTCCAACAATTCTATTGCTTTTTCCTGGCGGGGGCGGGGGGGTGCACCTGCTAGTGCTCAGGGGCATACTCCTGGTTCTGTGCAGGAACTTTAAGGGGCCGGGGACTGAATCCGGGACTCTAGCATACAAAGCAGGAACTCAGCAATTCTGCCCACTGGCTCTCGCGCTGGCATGGGACACTGGCCATTTCATTTAAATTAGCACACCACTGACTTTGGTGTAGAAAACACTACATGAGCAGATCAAGGCCATCGTCACAATTATGAAGATGCTCATGATGAAAGGAGTGAAGCTGTGCATGCTGGGCAAGCTGCTTCATGCATGCTTTTTTCCCTTTTGCTCATGTGTAGTAGATTCCTGAAGAAGGAAAAACACCACTGCCGTGTTGAAAAGTCTAGTCTTAGAGATTTCCCTAGGAGATCCTAGAACTGAAAGTAATCCACAGTGCCAAATAATAACAGATCCATCTCCCTCCATCCTACTGCCTTTCACCCCAGAAGGGCACTCATGAACAACACACATAAGCAGATCATGAAGCTTTATACTTTGCAAAATAACTCTTTGGATTATTTTTTAAAATGATAGATTTATTTTTTATTTTAGGCACACTGCAAAATTTATGGTAGGGCTTCATGGTGTAATATTCGCACTTCCTCACCCCCCAAGAGTGTCTTCTTTCCTCTCTCATTGGCTCACATCCCCCAGCCTTCCTCTGGCAAGCTCGGTCCTGCAAGTTCCGCTGCCTTGGCCATTTGTTATCCCTTACTATGCTTCTTTATCTCCCACATAGGAGAGAGATCATTCTGTGTCCGTTGTCCCTCTCCTTCTGAACTGACTTCACTCAGCACAATATCCCCCAGGCTCTCCAACGGACTTATATTGAGATATAATTCACACCTAATACAATTTAACCAGTTAAAGTACAAAACTCAATGTTATACAACTCTGCTCATAGTAGAATTTTAGAAAAGTTTCTCACCCCACCAAACAGAAATGCCATTACAGCAGTCACTAAGACACCTGCTTTACCACTCCCTTGTCTTATGTGATCTCTTAGATACCTTCTTTCACTGTGCATCTTTGAGGTTTAGCTGTGCTTACAGCAGGTGTTACTTTGCCCCTTTTGTCATGTAACATTTCGCCTTGTGGTTACAAAACATTATATATGAGTTTTTCACTGTTTCCACTATTTGCTATCCTGAGTAAGTTGCTATGAATGTTACATCCAAGGCTCTGTGTGGGCCTGTGCTTTCATTCCTTTTAGGTACCGTAAGAATGTTGCTGCAACAATTACCATAAACACGTTGTGACTACACTGAACATTTGAAAGCTTGCCAAATTTTCCCCAAGGGGCTGCCCCCTTTTATAGTCCTAGAAACATAGGTGGGTTCCAATGTCTCTCCCTCCTTGCCAGCACTTGTTACTTTCTGTCTTCTCAGTTACAGATGCTTTCATGGATGTGGCTGGACAGCTCTTCTTTAGTTCCCTAAGAAGTGGAAGGAACTAGGACTGGTTTTCAGTGTGTAGCCAGCCGCCCGCGGATTACGCTCAGCATCAGTTGTGAATGACTGCTACAATCCTTCATAGCAAAGTGTTTTAAGAGCAAAACATTAAAGTTCACTATCTGTGAGACAAAAGCAACCCTTCAAGCAACCCTTCAATGGGACAGATCATGCAGAATATAACCAGCACAGGTAGGGTAGCTCTGGGAAGACTGACTAAGCTGCTTCATAATTCCTCTCAGATTGGCAGATCTCTTACAAATAAAAGCATCAGGTAACTTTAAAAATAAGCTATTTGGGGCTTTTCAAAGAGGACAGCATCTCACCACAGCCTATTTCTGAGGCTGCTCTGAGTTTGGCTGATCTGTGTGCACTGGGTAGTGGGTGGGCAGATGTGTCCGTGAGCATCACCGGCAGTCAGACTAGCAACCTGAATGCAAGTAATTCAACTGGCATGTTCAAAGCCCACTAAGTCATCTATAATTGTCCACCAGGGTGGCTTACCAGACTGGAGATAAGATCATTCGTTTAATGACCAGAGTTAGAAAGGCATCTGAGAACAGGATGTTAGATGAAAATGTACCTTTCTTATTTTAATGTCAAATCTTGACATATTTCTGGTTACTAATCCCATGCTCTATGCTCTAGTCCCCATGAAAACTGAAGGAAGAATGGTTACTAAGGGCTAGAAAATCCGCATCTATGGGGCTGGAGAAATAGTACAGTGGTTAGGGCACTTGTATTGCACATAGCCAATCCAGGTTAAAGCGTACATACAATAATCAAAGCCAATCAGAAGTTCATTGGAAATAGGAACACATGAAAGTGAGAAGAGGAAGAAGAAAAGCACAAAGAAAAGCCCTGAGTCTAATAATCTGGTCATCTCTGATTCTGCTGCTGGAACTTGACAGCTCTGTGGTTTGGGATCATGGCCACACCAGTGATTCCCAACAGTGGTGAGCAGGTGTGTAGACACCACAATGCAAGGAGAAGACCCTTGGGGAGCACCACAGAACAGAACAGAGGTGTTGAACACCATGCCAGGAAGTGTGGTCCCTGGTGAGCATGTGGGAATATCGCTCTCTCTCGCTCTCTCTCTCTCACCTGCAACCTGAATGGACACAAGTCCTACAACTAAAAAGTGTGGCTTCAGCAAGCACCATAGCCATCTGTGTAAGTGCCACACTGTTATGTCACCTTGGGGCGAACCACACCCAAATGATCCAGCAACACAGCCATGCACATATGTGAGCACTGGTCATCATGACACTGCGGGGCTGGGGAGAAGGGTAAAATAAAGAAAATGAAAATATTATCCACCTGACTCTTAAGAACCAGTTCAATGTGTCCCCAACTTTGAAAGTTCCCAGACTTTTTGACTTTCAGAGACTCTTCCTTTATGCCAGCCCTGCACTATGTCTGTTTCTATAACAACAACAGTGCTGCCCATTTCTGGGTCATAATTGCTAGATATCATTGTAAGCACTTTACGTTATTCTTCAGCATATTTAGGATCACTGCAAGAGGTAGTTTCTATTCTTAGGCACAGGGCATTGCGCAGGAAACTCATCCAAGGCTATGCTGGGATTCCAACCTGCTTCCCAATGAACATTTAATTCTGATTCTAAGTGGCAACTATCCCTATTTTGAAAACCATCAGGTCCTCATATTAAACTGCATAGGGCTGGGCTAAGGATGTGCTCAGCATTCAAATATATAATTCACAGGTGGGAGGATCTGAGTTTGAGCCCCAGCACTGTGAAAATAGACCAAAAATATATCAACTGTGACCTTTTCAAGGGAAGATCTGTCTTACTCTAAGTTGTTTTTGATACCAAATGCCTGGCAAATCAGGAGATGCTAAAAATATTTATTCAACTAAAAATACTTGTGAAATTAGAGATATAGTATAGTAGGCTTGCCTTGAATGCTGCTGATATGAGTTTGATCCCTGGCATCCCATACAGTCCCCTGAGCCCACTAGGAGTGATTCCTGAGTGCAAATCCAGGAATAATCCCTGAATACACCTCCAAGTGTGGCCCAAAACCCAAAAACAAAATAAAAAATCATTTGCTACATTAAATGCAAAAATGAAGGGAAAAGTCTATGTTTTTGAAAAATCTAAGCAAGAGATCTATAGGCTGGAGAAAGTATACCATGTAGGAGGCTGGCTTTGCATACTATTTGTCCCAGTTTGATCCCCAGCACCATGTATGGTCCCCTAGACTTCACCAGGAGTGATCCCTGAGCAGAGAGCCAGGAGTAAGCCCAAGGGGGAAAAAGTGTTTGTCTCAGGCAACAGAAATGGGGAGGCTGTAATATGATCACACAGACGTCTGGTTGTTAGTAATGACCGTGGAGGAGAAAGAAATGGCGAATGATGAGTTCAATGGAAGAAATTTCTGGGTAGCATTCAAAACACATACAATTAGTTCATCAAAATCTCAAGACCCATGTTTTTAAAAAACATCCCATAAATGGAACTGGGAATAGTCTCTGGTGCCACTAGCATGTTAGAGGTGACCCCTATATCAGAGATTCTCCTAAATGAGCCTGATGATACCAATAAACAACCATCCCACATGAAAATCAATGACATAGGCAGAAAGCATGGTGGGAGCACGCAGTGCTTGTACATAACAGTTGATGAAGAATCCTTAATGGTTACTGATTTTAGACTGAAGATAATTAACTTGGAAAAAGCTCATAATGTTTTGAAATCTAATATTGGCTTTAAACATCAGCTCTTCAATCAATTCAGTTTTCAAATCATAACTTCAAATCCATAATGAAGCTCTTAAACCCCTTTCTCCATCAAGCTCCTACACTTGGAGAAGTCTGAGAAAAACCTGTTTTCTCAACTTTTTCGATGTTTATTAAGACTAGTTCCAACTTTACAGTAAAGAAAATTAGATACTTTCTGTTAAATTTCAAAGCCCTGACAATTCATTTTTATTAATTAAGCATTTACATTTCAGAAGTTATTATCAGAAGAAAATGATTAAGAAAAAGTTCTACCTGGTTTTGAAGACCCGATATCGGCTTGTCCTAATTGCTTTTTCCTTTTGGCTTCCTCCACAGGGTTTTCAAATTGGGTTTTCTGGTTAAGATGACTATGAAAGGGAGAAAAACATAAATTTTTGCTTAGAACAAAGAGAAACACATTTAAAATAGTCAATTATACCATTTTATCGGGCTGGAGCGATAGCACAGCAGGTAGGGCGTTTGCCTTGCAAGCGGCCAACATGGTCAACCCGAGTTTGATTCCTCCGCCCCTCTCGGAGAGCCTGGCAAGCTACCGAGAGTATCTCGCCCGCACCGCAAAGCCTGGCAAGCTACCCATGACGTATTCCATATGCCAAACACAGTAACAATTGTCACAATGGAGATGTTACTGGGCCCGCTCGAGCAAATTGATGAACAACGGGAGGACAGTGACAGTGACCATTTATCACCATAGTATATGGGACAAATATGTATGTATAGGCTATGGAAACTGAAAGGTCACAGTGGGAAAAACTCTGACAACTTTGGGAAGGTCCACAGAGATGTCTGAAAGCCAAACTGTTGAAGCATTCATTAGAGTTTTTACATAAATGCATGCAATAAAGTCAATGGCAGCTTTCTGAAACAGAAGCCAGATTCATGTCTACTGAATTCACACCTGTTGATAAAGTATAAAAGTATCAGTAAGATATTTTTTTGGTGTGTGTGTGTGTGTGTTTTAATTTTTACTAGTGAAACACCATGAGGTACCATTGTAGACTTACAAATTTTTGTGCTTGGGTTTCAATTATACAATGATTGAGTACCCATCCCTCCACCAGTGGTCATTTTCCACCACCACTGATTCCAGTATCCCTCCCACCCCCCACCCCCCTATCCCCCCCTGTCTCTGTGGCAGGGCATTCCCTTTTGTTGTCTCTCTCCTTTTGGGTGCTGTAGTTTGCATTGAGTGGCAATCATGTTTGGTCTATAGTCTACTTTCAGCATGCATCTCCCATCTTGGGAGAATCCTCCCAACACCTTTATTTGGTGCTCCCTTCTCTATCTGAGCTGCCTTTTCCCCTAGAGTGTGCAGCTGGCCTCCAAGTCATGGAGGTTATCTGGTACTTATCTTGGCTATTCTTGGGTGTTAGTCTCCTATTTTGTTACTTTATGTACCCCAGATGAATGCAATCTTTCTATGTTTGTCCCTCTCTTCCTGACTCATTTCACTTAGCATGATACTTTCCATGTAGTACCACTTGTATGTAAATTTCATGACTTCATCTTTTCTAACAGCTTCATAGTACTCCCCTGTGTAGATGTAGCAAAGTTTCTTTAACCAGTCATCTGTTCTCGGGCACTCAGGTTTTTCCAGATTCTGGCTACTGTAAAGAGTGCTGCAATGAACAAACAAGTGCAGATGTCACTTCGACTACACTTTTTTGCCTCTCTGGGATATATTCCCAGGAGAGGTATTGCTGGGTCAATATTGCTGTGTGTGTTGTGTGTTTTGACACACACCTGTAGTGCTCAGAGATTATTCCAGGATCTGTGCACAGGGAGCACTTCTGTGGTCTCTGGGGACCATATGTGATGCTGCGGATTGAACACAGGCCGGCCCATGCAAGGCAAACGCCCTATCTACTGTACTATCTCTCTGGCCTGGTGGGTTAATTTTTTAAGGGCAGCCAATGAGAGGGAGTTTCTAAATTAAACTTTCTCTAAAATGAAACAGCTGTAAAGACACTTTTGAAGAAATCTGAGTACAGAAGTCTTGGAGCATTTTACTATTACTCCTCCTGCTGACTCATCCACATCAATTTAGCAGCAGCTAAGAAAGTAATTTACTTTATCTCCTATCACAGAACAATCTTTCACACTTAAAGTTCTTCATAATTACATAATTGTTAAATGAATGATATAATTGCAACATAAGTTGAACTGATATTTATAGTTGGAGAAAATTCACAACTGACTCTTGGGGAAAGTACAGCCGAGAATAAGGAAAGCCAGAGGACTTGGGACTAACCACTGTCCATCCATCTGCCTTGTCTAAGGGAACAGCACATGGGCTACTCTGGCTACTTGGTTAAGAAAGCACCTATTGCACAAAAGATACTCAAGTGGACACACAGCACTTCCACAAAAGCAATGGGAATTATGCTCCAGTGCTTGCCTTGTATGTGATTCGATCTCTGGCCCCCAAATAGTCCCCTTGGCCCTGTTAGGGAGTGATCCTTGAGCAGAGCCAGGAGTAAGCCCTGAGCACAGCTGCATGGCCCCAAGCCCTAGACAAATAAAAAACACCCCCACTGCCTCCACCCCCAATAAAAAGAAAAAGAAAATAGGTATTTTAAGGCTGGAGAGATAGAACAGGATGTAAGGCACTTGCCTTGCCTGCAGCGGAACCTAATTCCAATCCCTGACATTGCATATGTGCCCCCAGCACATGGCCAGGGGTCCTTCCTAAGCAAAGAGCCAGGAAGACCCTGAAGCAGGGTCAGCTATGGACTCAAAACCCAAACTTCTCCCTCCACTACAAAGAATAAAGGTGATTCAGCACCAGTCTAATGCATTTTAACAAGAAGTAACACAGTGACTTCCAGCTATTAAACATCAGATCTTATGTAAATGAAGAAGCCAACTTCAAAAGACAAAAGCTTCCCAGAGGCAGGAATTCTAGCTTTCTGCCTGACTTTGTAGGCTTTTAGCGCAAATGAACTCTGCAACTGATGTGGCTGTATTGTTTCAGAACTCAAAACTAAAACAAGCTCTACTTGAAATGTTTAGGCTTTAATTTCTATGAAACTGAGTATGTTTGTTTCTTATTATGGGGCAGCACCTTCTATGTGAGTGTGTGTGTGGGGGGGGATAGAGAGAGGAGAGGAGAGGAGAGGAGAGGAGAGGAGAGGAGAGGAGAGGGGAGGGGAGGGGAGGGGAGGGGAGGGGAGGGGAGGGGAGGGGAGGGGAGGGGAGGGGCGGGGAGGGGAGGAGAGGGGAGGGGAGGGGAGGGGAGAGGAGAGGAGAGGAGAGGAGAGGAGAGGAGAGGAGAGGAGAGGAGAGGAGAGGAGAGGAGAGGAGAGAGAAAGAGGAAGTGGTAATACCACTTCCTACTAGGTATTACTTTCGAAAAATGACTTATTAGCCACAGACATTTTAGGTTTATTTCTTTTAAAAATATCTACATAGAAAAGGACACTTGGAAAAGAATAAACTGGTTTAGAACCTTGGTTTACTTTAATGTCACTGACTAGAATGACTCACATGTCCTTCCCAGGCATTAAAACATAGAAAGTAGCAATTTGGAGTTATACTCTGTATAATGAGTGGGACAAGAGAGAGGAAGCATGCAAATGAGCAAGAGTTTCCTGAAAATTGTTTGACATAAGAATATAAGATTTTAGTGAAGAAAGTAATTGTATATGTTACCTTAGACAACTTAGATAAAAATGCCCCCCCCCCCCCCCACTGCCAAAAAAACCCAAAAGAAAGCAAGAACACTTTCCTTTGAGCAGAGCACTTATGTGCATGATATTACTAAGAGGTAATATTTTGTTTTCTATACAGCTAGCTGTGGGAAAGGAAATAATATTACAGATTTTCAATAAAATTAAACCAGAGTAGCAAATGTAGATAGAGTATATGATAAGAAATTTGGAATCTCAGCTGTATTAACATTTTGTGTATACATGGATTTGTTTTCAATTTTATCTTGGAGCCTCCCCTGGCTGTGCTCAGGGCTCCCTCCTGGAGGGGCTCGGGCTCTGTGCTCTTGGATCTGTGCTCAGGGATCACTCCTAGTAGTGCTTGAGAGACCACAGGGGACTCAGACATGAGCATGCAAAGCACCTTAAACCCTGTACCATCTTTCTGGCTCCAATATATGGATTTAAAAATTAATTTCAACAAACAAATCTTTCTTTTTATTTCTGCTTCCCAAGCAGTAATTCAAGGGCCCAGTGGTCACTTCCTGCGATTCTCAGCCAGCCTACTGGGGCAGGTGAATGAAAGCACCCTGACACATTGCTGCACAAACTTAGAGCCACTAGGGAAGACACAGATGCAACCAAGGTCACCCAAGTGATGTGAGGTCTGCCAGGAATATAACTCATGAAGATCAGGGTGCCATGTGGCACTGCAGATACATGCAAGGGGTCAGGTACATGCAAGGCATGAGCACTATCCCTGGACTACCTCTCCAGGCTCCCAAACCATTTAAAGAAGAAACCCGGATACTAAATCAGATGTGTATGTGCTACCTTGTCACCCAGCTGCATTGACAGAAGAGCGCATTAAGATGAGGTTTGTGAGTATGTAGGGAGCATCCCCAAGGGCAAAAGCTGAGAGTTTGGTCTTTAGTTTACAGGTACTTGGGGGCGACCAGAGCTTTATATGGTGGTACCAGGGGTACCAAGTGATGCCAGTGAGCAAACTCAGGGCCTAGGACATGGCAGTTATATGCTCTCCTACTTGAGCTATTTGCCAGGTCTTAAAAATATTTTATGGAAATGCTATAATTCAACTTTTGGAACATTTTTTTTAAATCAACATTTTCAAAATCTCATCTTCTATAATAAAGACACAGAAAAAATGCCATTGTAGTTAGTGGTATTAGTACAAGGCTTCTGCCAAAAGCAATCACTGAGTCATCTGGTTTGACAAACGAAGGGAGCCAAAGAGTAGTCATTCAAGTGTGAGTGCTGATCGCCACTGGTACTCTGCAGATGCCTGTGGTCAAGATTCTACACCTAACTAACCTGGGAGTAAAGCCACACCTCATAGCTCAGTCGACTCCATGGTAACATGTATCTTGAGCTCATTCTAAATCTAACGAATCATCCTCTTATAAAGTAAACAGTCAAACAAACTGTTGCTTCTGTTGCTGTCTGTAATCCAGGCTCATGAACACACCTCTTGTGATACTTGTGAGCAGATCACTTAGGGTTTGCTCTAGAGTTGCTTCCACAATACACACTCTATTAATGAGGGCTGAATGATTTAGCCTAAGACTCTTAAAATAAGAAAATGACTTTCCTCTCCAGACCATGAATTCAAACTCACTTGGAGAACTGGAGCAATAGTACAGTGGGGAGATGTTTGCCTTGTATACAGTTGATCTGGGTTTGTCTCCAGCACCAATATGATCCCCGTCGCCCCACCAGGGGTGATCCCTGAGTGCTGAGCTAGGAGTAAGCCCTGAATACCACCAGGTGTACCCTCCCACACCCACCTACCCTCCACCCCGTGTGCCAAAATCAAATTCGCTTGGAGTGGACAATAGGACAATGATAATCATTATCTCAGAAGTGTTTGGCAGTGTCAAAACACAGCTGACTGATGCTCAATTTAAACAGAATAAACTACTAGCAGAACAATCCCACAAAATTGTTCCATATTTGGCTTTCAAAAGTTCCAGTGACCTGGAAAATGGCTGTTTCTTGATTTTAACTAAATACACTTAGGAAAAATAAACTAACAAAAGAGCTGCTGCATACATTTCAAACCACAGTATCAGAAAAATGTTAAATAATATGATAAAAATAAAATTAGCATAGCCTTCTCAAGGAACCAAAATCCTGACACTGCAATTAGAGCTAAGAGTCAAACAAACTGAGCTGTTCCTTTAGGGCCCACGTTTGAGTTTAAGAAAGCATTCCAGGATGTTGGAGAGATAGCAGAGTGGGTATGGCACTTGTCTTGTGCGTGGCCCACCAGGGTTCCATTCCTGACATCCCCTATGACACCCTGAACACTGCCAGAAGTAATTCCAGAGTGCAAACCCAGGAGTAAGCTCTGAGTACAACCAGGTATGGCTCAAAAAAACCAAGAAAACAAACAAAAAAGAGAAAACATTCCAAAAATCACTATACTATATTAGAATAATGGCAGAGTTAAAATAGGAATAACAGGTAACTTTAGGGATCAATACCAGAAAGTGTTACTGGTTTATGTAACATGTTTCTATTTTTTTCTCTTTAAAGAGTGATATTATCTATTTTCTTTGTATATAAATGAAATTTGTTTAATCTTTCATTATGGGAAATTTATTTGGGGGGAGACGGGCCACGCCTGGCTTGCTCAGGACTTAATACTGGCTCTGTGATCAGGAGTGGAAACCTGATCATATTTGGGTTCTCAGGTTGTTCAAATTGGAGGCAGCCAGTATGCAAGGTAAGCACCTTACTCCCTGTATAATCTCTTCATCCTACGGGGAATAATTTTATTTTATTTTAAATTTATTTATTTTTAAATTTTTATTAGTGAAACACCATGAAGTACAGTTGTAGACTTACAAATTTCTGTGCTTGGGTTTCAGTTATACAATGATCAAGTACCCATCCCTCCACCAGTGCCCATTTTCCACCACCATGGGTCCCAGTATCCCTCCCATCCCCCATCCCTCCCATCCCACCCTGCCTCTGTGGCAGGGCATTCCCTTTTGCTCTCTCTCTCTCTATGGGGAATATTTTTAAAACAAAATCAAACAAAAAATAAGAAGAAAAGAAAATATAAAAAGAAAAGATTCTCATTCTTGCTATTTTTTAAAGGTAATATCACTTTGTCACCATATCTCAGATGTAGATTCAGATTTCTAACTATATAAATAGCAACATTTTAATTGCAATTATATAGCTGGCCAAATTAGATGCCTCAGGTCAAAATTCTACTTAAAGAATCTGAAAAGATTCAATGGTTATAATAGTGCTGAAATTTGATAAAGAAAAGGAAAGAAATATAGATGATGATATTATCCTAAGTTCTCTGGTAACACAGGCAGGTATCTGGTACCCCAATAAGAGAAGGGGCACACACTTCTGTTTCAATGTAAACATGGGAAGTGGGGGTGAGAAAGTATAAAGGATAAGGAATTTGCCTGGCTTACAACCAACCCCAGTTCCATCTCCAGCACCTCATGATTATCCTTGAGCACAGAGCCAGGATTAGTCTTGAGTAATATGGAGTCTAATCTAACTCCTCCTTCCCAAGATATAAATAAAGAAATGTAATGATAGCTCTGTAAGAAGCCATTCTCATACCCCAAAAGAATACCAACTTCCTTAAAAACAGAATACTTTTAGTCATTTATTCAAAACTTTGGATTTTTACAGTATACTGTCCTTCAAGTCTTATTTCTGTCAGAACTGCAGAGGTTGTGACTGGAAAGAACTTTAATACAATTAACCACCAACTGCCCTCATTTCCCAGTTTCTATCAACTACCTTTCTCTAAAGGTAGTGGCCGGCCAGCACATGGGTAAGGCATTTGCCTCCCCCACAAGGAGTAATCTCTGAGCACAGAACCAGAAGTAAGTCTTGAGCACTGCCAGATGTGGGCCCCCAAATATAAACAAACAAAACGACAGTAGTGGCAATGATAACACCTCCAGCATTAATTAGGGACACCATTTCCTTCTGGCTCACTATACTGACCTCCCAAGTCTGGGGAGCCTGGATTCAGGGAAATGGAAGCTCACAGCCCTTACCTTCTTGTTCTGCTAATAGGAAGACTGGGCAGACTGAAGCGAGCAGAACTGCATTTAGTTTGCCCCAGAGCTGTGGAATTAAAGAAAAACATCTGGGAGAGGATTAGATGAGGTAGCAAACTTACTCAACATAGTACGTTCCATACTGAGGGTCCTCTATTTTCTCCCAGCCATAAGGAAGTTCTAGAAAGAGAAAGAACAATTGAGTAAAATGTCAGATTCAAAATCAACAGAAAAGAAATCAGTATGAAGTGTGTTCAACATCATGATGCTAATATTGGGGGAGACTGTGAGAAACCTGAGGGTCACTTTCAAATTAAATTTGAACTTGTGGCTTTCTCAATAGTCAGTATCTAAGCAAGTAATTAGTTCACCAGTACAAAAGGTGACATTGCACTAAGAGATGTTTATCTGAAGCACCAGCAAGGAAGATGCTATGTATTAATCATCAGGCAAATCTCTTTCCCTAAAAAAGCCTAGTGCTGCTGATATGAGATGTTTAGTGCAATATAGGAAGCAGTTGCTGTTTTAAATTTGTACTGTTTAGGAGGCTGGTGAGATAGTACAGTGGGTATGGTGCTTGCCCTGCATGCGACTGTGCCAGGTTGGATCTCCCCAAGCACCAACAGAAGTGATCCTCAAGCACAGAGCCCAGAGTAAGCTCTGAGCAACACTGGGAGTGGCCTCCAAACAAAAACAAAACAAAAATCTTCACCATTTAGATGAGATTTGTCAGTTATTTTTATACTTTTATACTGTGACCCCCTTCACCCCAAAGAGAAGTACAGCTTTGAATGTTTTCCAACTTAAATGAGCAATCTACATTTGCTTAACACCTAAGATAAGAATGACTTTCTCTAGCACAAACTTAATCTCAGTATATGAAGAAAAGTCCACATAACTATCATAGTGATTTCTATAGAACCCATGTTTGTGCAGAGTAACAAAGAAATTGTTTAATCAGAATTAGTATATAATAGTTACCTTAAGTAACAGAGCAATAAATTTAAACCCAAAAAACTGAAGTCAGTTGAGTCTCTGACAGTTAAATTCAGGTCTTTTCAACATAAGCTGATCCTGTCAGTAAAGCATTCTCTTTCCGCTCCTGCTCTGCCCATTTCCCAAGTGAAGGCTTCTAAACATAATTTAATTATCACACCTGAATTATGTTGGCAGGAATGTTCCCAGGAATGTTCCAGGTGGCTCTATTGCTACCAATCATACACTGATGCCCAACAAGAGAAAACAATTAAAAACCCACAATAAATCCCCCAAACTCCAGTTTTATTTTATGATAGCCACACCTTTTTTTTAAAAACTTTATTTTAGAAAATTTTGTTTGCTAGGCTGAAACATGGACACAGTGTATACACACACACACACACACACACACAAACACACACACACCAAATAGGATGAAAATTAAGGATATGAAGAAATTGTAAAGCATTTAGCCACAGTTATGTTTCAAGTCTCTAAGTAGAAACACCATTATCATGAACCTGACAAGCTATACAAATTGTTGGACTCATAAAAATTCTTAAACATTTGGAATAAAAATATAACAGATGACAAGCCTCTTAATAAAAAGTTTTGACTCCTTTCCACTTACTTTCTCCTTGTGTATGTTTATCTATTGATTGGTGGTTTGGGAGCTTGGCTGGGATTTTACTGCCATGCACCTGGCTTAATGTCTGAGATGGGAAAGAACAAAATAATTGAAAAGTCACTACTGAATGAAAACAGGCGAAAACAAATAAGAAAGTATAGCACTGTGGCACTGTCTTCCCGTTGTTCATTGATTTGTTCGAGCGGGCCCAGTAACGTCTCCATCATGAGACTTGTTGTTACTGTGTTTGGCATATTGAATACATCACGGGTAGCTTGCCAAGCTTTGCCTTGTGGGTGAGATACTCTCAGTAGCTTGCTGGGCTCTCAGAGAGGGGCAGAGTAACCCAACCAGGCTGGGCCGGGCCAGCTGTGCGCAAGGCAAATGCCCTACCGTTGCGCTATAGCTCTAGCCCAAGAAAATATATATATACTTATATTTATCATATATGTTATACTTACATACTAAATCATATAAATATCATTTATAATTATTTTCTTACAAGATGTACTTTAGTTAACTTTAATTCTCCAGAGCTAGAAAGCAAAGAGTAATCAATAAGAATAATCAACAAAGAATTACATTTTATGATTAAGCAACTGCTTAAAATTTAAGGATTTTTATATACATACATCTTAAAAAATGCTCTGTGATAACATTACTAAGCATTATCATTATAAAGCTTCTAGGAAAGATTTCTTGTAGTTGTTGTTCTGATTTCTGGATCAAACCTGGTGGTGCTCAGGACTTATTTCTGGCTTTTCACTCTGTGATCACTTTCAGCAGTGTTTGGGGGACCATATGCAGTGCCAGGAATCAAACATGGGTTGGTTGTGGCTCTGGGATCACTTTCAGCAGTATTCAGGGTACCATATGTGACATCAGGGATCAAACCTGGGTTGGCTATGAGTAAGGCAAGTGTCCTATCTGCTGTACCATCTCCAGCCCTGAGAATTTTCTTTTCTTTTCATTTCTTTTCTATTTTGGGAGAGGGGCAAACCACATACGGTGGTGCCTTACTCTGCACTCAGGAATTACTCCTGTTGACGCTGGGGATTGAACCCAGGTGGGCTGCATGGAAGGCAAGTGCCCTACCCACTGTACTGTCCATCCGGGCCCCCCCTCCCAATTTTTTGTCTTTAATAGAAGTTTTCTTGGCAGCATGGAAGCAAATGTTGCCAAGCAGCGATACCCTCAGATCTGCACCTCAGCCAAGCTTTTGCTTTGTCTTCGGAGAACTCTGGAGAACTGAAGGAGCTACAGAGACCTGAAACAGACTATCTGACATCTGAACAGGATGTATTAATATTTCAAAAGGATAAAAGATCAACATAAAAATATTTCAATGTTATTCAGGAGGCTGAGTAGCATTTTATTTAGCATTTACAATAATTAACAACTCACATAGTGCATATTATGCTTTCTTAAGAGAATAAAATGGGTAACTTATTTTCTGGATTACATTCAGTAATCAGTACAAACCTCTAGAATTTTTTTTAAACCATACTTATTAGCCAGTTTGGGGATTTTTGTGTTGTAGGGCAGATTGTGTAAATAAAGAAATAGTTGCTGTTTGCCCACTTAAAATAAAAGTAAATAAAACTAACTCTAAAATACTTAACAATGTTATGTACTATCTAGACGACCTACTCTTTCATGCATTTCCTTCTTTGGGGTCCCTTTTCTCTTTTCCTTCCATCTCAGCCTCCTCTTTCCTTCTGTTTTATGTAAAAATAAAACTTGAGAATACAACCTCATTCTTGACCTCAAAAATTCATCATCTACACGAGAAAGGGAAGTGACAAATGACATAATGAAGATCAATGAAGCTTCTAGAAGGTGCCAGAAGAATGTCAAGAAATGTCTGGTGAAGGAGGAGCCACCAGGAAAATCTAAAGAAAGGGAATGTTAAAGCCTCCTCTGAAGGACCTAGGGAAAGAAAGGCCCTTTCCAATTGATTTCAGAGCACTGATTTTGAGACTTCCCTAGTAACAAATCATGTAGCAGGGATGGAGTAAATGTAGTGAGAAGAGGGTAAAGGTAAAGGTAAAGGCCCTCCCGCTGTTCATCGATTTGCTCGAGCGGGCTCAGTAACGTCTCCATTGGAGACTTTGTTGTTACTGTGTTTGGCATATCGAGTACGTCGCAGGGAGCTTGCCAGGCTCTGCCGTGATACTCTCGTAGCTTGCCGGGCTCTCCAAGAGGGGCGGAGGAATTTAACTTGGGTCAGCCATGTTGGCTGCATGCAAGGCAAATGCCCTACCGCTACTGGGTCAAAAATATTGGGCCAAAATCATTTAAATTAAGGTAACTAAAAATTCCCACAGTTTTAGCATGTAATATCCATACAGTTGCCAATATAAAACGATCAGAATCTCTCTTTGTGTACCTAATATGTTGACCTGTCATTCTCAGTAGGGGTTGGGGACTGATTTTGCACAAAATCATCTTCCTGGAATACAGGGTATACAAGTATGAGTTTTATTTTAATAATGGAACTGATTAAGCAAGATTAAGTTTAGATTTGAGAAAGAATATGGGAAGTAGCACTAAGGGTGGCATATGATGAGAATAAAGGCAAACACATTAGAACAGTCTGAAGAGTCTAGTAAGCAATGAAGGATGGGCTGGAGAGACAGTATAGGGGTTCATGAGCTTGCCTTGTATGCAGTTTATCTGAGTCAACTGTGGTACCACACAGTGAGTTCTGAGCACCTCTGGGTGTGATCCCCTCCTTCAAAGACTAAATATCTGCTTAATACCTATTATGAAAATAGCTTTGGGAACAAAATGGTGATGTGAATTTGTATATGGAGGCAACAATAAGGCAGAACATAAGTGAGGAAAGTTACTGTTCCCCACTGTGCCCAGATGACTTGGGGATGAAGGATTTTATCAAGTCAGAATTGCCTGAAATCAAGTTAACTGCCATGAGGAGGGCCCAGTGATGAAAAGCTGACCATGATAACCAGCTTCTGAGCAAGGAACTGGGAGGTTCTGATGTCCTTTGTCCTTTGAAGAGATCAGGAACAAAGATATAACTCAAACTATATCTCTTACAATTGAGGGATCTACAGAACATCCTGTTTAGAATACCTAACAAGACCTTAGAATCTAAACCCGGTCCTCAAAAGAGAAATTTTGGAGAAAATCTAGTTAGATCCATGGCCATGAACAAGAGGATCTAGACAATGAATGGAGAGACAAAGACGAGCAGGCTCAGGAACAGCACAAGTCAGACCGCACTGGACTTGCAAGTACAACCCTTGAGCCAACAAAGTATGTTATCTCTGGCAGATGCCACAGCTAAGGGTGTGAGTACAACCAAGTGTGCATCACTCAGTCACTGCAACAATAATAAAGGGAAGGGGACTTTTTTTTAATAAACAAAACTTTTCACACCAAGCTGCTTTTTTGGTTTTGTTTTTGTTCTTTAAAGCCAGGGCTGTAGGTTAAGAGTAAGCATAGTCTGGCATGTACGAGGCTTTGGGTCTGTTCCACTGTACTGCATGTCTCCTCATTTCAGGCACTGCACCATCAGCTTGGTGTGAAAAAGATAGTCTGAAACCCCAGG